GGATAAAGAAAACGTGGTGCATTTACACAGTGGAGCATAACTCAGATGTTAGAAATCATGACATAAAATTTGCTGGCAAATGAATAGAAGTAGAAAAAAAATCCTAAGCAAGACAACCCAGTCCCAGAAAGACAAGTATGGTATGTACTCTGTAGGTAAGCCCCAGCCGTGACAAGCTCGACAGAGGCCTGAGTCTCAGTAGTTTACCCTAAGGCAATACCTGGTTACAAGAAAGACCACAAACTGAGACCACCCAGGTACCACCCAGGAACAGACCATCTAAAGGAAATTCCCAACGTTCCAACCATTGTAGATAGGATCACCAGCCAGCACACATCCATCGCTTTTCACCAGGACACCCCTAAACAAATGTCAGCTAATCAGGGGTCCTGAACCTTAGATATTCCTCACACCCAACCTCTGCTATTATAAAACCCAACCCCAGCCGAGTTCGAGGCTCTCTGATCACTCCAATACATTGGACACACGGAGAGTCCGAGTTTGCAAACGTGTGTAAGAATAAAGTCTCTTTGCTTTTACATACAGTACTCGGTCTCCTAGTTGGTTTTGGGGGGACTCTGTGATCTGGGCATAACATATTCACTTATTAGGGGATATTATTTGTTAAGTAAAGGATAATCCACTACAATTATTGCATGCACTGCATGCATCTCCCGGAGAAGGGGACACTTGTGGGTAGATTTGGGGGCAGGTGGGGATGGGGACAGGGAGTAACAGATGGGGGGGGGGGTGGAGAGAGGGTGTGCAGAGAGAGATGACTGGATTAGGTGGGCATTTACGGGGCAGTGTGGAAACCTAGTGCGGTGGAAACTTCCTAAAATCTGTCAGGTCGACCCTAGCGAGGACTCCTAGCAATGGAGGATATGCAGCTGAGCTGCCATCAGCTATAACCAGTCAGGCTCCCAGTGGTGGGACTGGGTCACCAATCCAGCCACAAAACCTTTGACCCTGCTGACAAGAGGCACTGGGGCAACCGTGGCTCAGAGTTTGTGGGTGTGGCCAACCAATGACCGGTCTAACTTGAGGCCCAAGCCACAAGAGGGAGCCCATGCCCAACGCTGTCTGGAGGTCAGGAACTGGAAGCTACTGGGCTCACAGAACTAGGATAGAACCAAACAGGACTGAGAAAAAAATGTCAGTGAGCTGATTCCTAATTGTTCTGCTCTACTCACAGGACCAGTCTAGCCTAATCGTCATCAGAGAGGTTTTCTCCAGCAGCTGATGGGAGCAGATGCAGGGACCCACAGCCAAACATTAGAGGGAGCTCCTGGGACCCTGCAGAAGAGGGAGAGGAAGGACTGTAGGAGCCAGAGAGGCCAAGGACACCAGGAGAACACAGCCCACAAAGTCAACTAACCAGGGCTCCCAAGGGCTCCCAGGGGCTCCCAGAGATGGAGGCAGCAATAAAAGGGACGGCCTGGGTCTTCTCTATGTCCTTGGCGTACGTGTTGTGGTTGTTAGCTTGGTGTTTTTGTGGGCTCCCAACAGTGAAAGGTGGTGTCTTTGATTCTTTTGCCTGCTTGCTTGCTTGGGACTCTTTCCTCCACCTGGGTTATTTCCAGCCTTGATATCAGGGTTTCTGCCTAGTCTTACCGTATCTTGTTATGCCGTGCTTGGTTGATATCCCTGGGAAGCCTGTGTTTTTCTGAATGGAAATGGAAGAGCAGTAGATCTGAGGGAGGGGAAACTGGGGCGAGGAACTGGCAGAAGGGGAGGGAGGAGAGGCTGTGATCAGTATGTATTGCATGAGAGAAGAATAAAGTTTTAAAAGAAAAATTAGATTTTTGAAGCTGTGGTAAAATATACATATGGCCCACCATAAGCACTCGTGTGTGTGTGTGTGTGTGTGTGTGTGTGTGTGTGAGTAACATCTCCAGCATCCAGATCTCTTCATCTGTGGGCTGATACTGCTCTCCACAACCTCTGGAACCACCACGGGCTTCTCCCCTGTGAGATCTCCGCTCCCCATCGTCCTCACGAAGGAGACATGCAGCATTTCCTTTTGTGTCCAGCTTATTTCGTCTATGCTAATAATGCCAGGCTTCATCGTGTTGTGTGTGGGACAGAATTTCCTGCCCATTAAAGGCTGAGAGATTTTCTACTCTACAAACTGTCATACTCTCATATCTGTTTAGCTCATGCTGGGCATCCAGGCTGTGCCTTTGACTGTTATTAATCAAGTTGCTGGGAACGTGGGAGAACAAACATCTGCCCATGTCTCTGCTTTTGTTGTTGTTTCTATGCATTTACTCCGAAGTGGATTGGCTGGGTAATGAGGCATTTGTGTTTCTGGATGACCCTCTACCCTGGTAACAGGGTATGACATAATAGTGACACCTGTCAACTCTCTGATGTCCTCTAACTCAGGGTATGGGTGGGGAGACCAGGTGGTACCTATAAAACTTGCTACAGAGCTGCCTGGTGATGTGACTTTCATAACAAGTCCCCTCTCCCACTCAGGAATCTACTGACCATGTGACCATGTCCTCTTTTTGGATGAACTTTGTTTGAACTTCCACAATAATCAGCAGCAAGTCTCCAGGTGATTTCCAACTTTTCTGGATCAATTCTGGGTCAGCTCATTCTGATTTAATCCAAAAGCTGCTGTGTTCACTCAGCAAATGGACCTGCTGCTCCTGACGATTACACATGTGGCAAACTGAGGGCAAAGTTATTTGTGCTTCAAACAAAAAATATTACATTTATGGCTTAGATTCTGTCACCTTTATGTGCAGTTTGACATTGCATATAGTCCAGAGGCTATACACTTGGCTCTACAATTTGAAACTTTCTTAAAACTGATATTTGTTATCTAGGGCCTGGTTTTTCCATAATGAACAAAGACAAATCAGATGTTCTTAGGGTACAAGTGTCCAGACCGTGTTATGTGGGAGCAGTGACTGTCCTTCCACTCCCAGGGAGCCACCCGGGGCTCTCAACAGAGCATACTTAACTCTCCTGCAATCATGGGAGGTTTGTCTGTCCTGGCCATGTAGATGATTTCAGAAACCATCAAGTCACAGGCTCATTTGGAAGATCCCAGCCGCTAGAAAAAGAGAGACTAGCAGGAGGTAAATACTGCTCTTGGCCATACTTTCTCCAGTGTATGGACTGTGATAGGGTAACCATGGTGATCGGACATCTTGATCACTGACCCCTCCTCTAGGAGATGCTGTGGTCCACACAACTCCCTCTAAAGCTCCTTCAGTTAATGCTTCCCATTGCATCAGGGTCACATTCCATTGGGCTAAAATGACCTCTAGATCATCCTCAACTCTTAAATGAGTCACCCTAAGTAACATTTCTTGGTATGTCACTGGTCAACTGAGCCGTTCTTTAGCAGATCTTCAGGATGCCCAGGTGGGATGGACCTAAGGTTATAGACTCCCTACTCCACTCCCCCACCACACGAGTCTGTAGCTCCATCCTGATGCTCAACCCAGAGACTGTCAAGCGTTTGCGAACATTCCAGTGTGTTCTGTACTCTGCAGAGGGCCCACATCCCTGCTAGCCTGCAGCTTGTGTGGACCCTCACCGTCCTGTATCTCACTCTGATGTTCTCTGACTGTCTAGCTAAAGTCATATTAATAAATGGGGACAGATTTCAGTGCAAGGAAACTTGACAGAAGAAACACAGTCAATAATCACTGTAAACCAGAGAGCACAGCCACAAGTATTTGCAGGGGGAGTCAAATAGTCTCTAGGAGAGCCAAGGTGTTCTTCGTTTTTAATGTCCTTTCCCCAAGAGGTGAGAGGCCATCTTTCTCTATACATCATCCTGTGGAAATGCAGGTAGTAAAACCATGGCAACAGTCTGTGTTTATGGTGATGAACTTCTTTTTTTCACCATCTGAACCTGGGTCAGGCCGATCAATTTTGCTGTGTGGACTGAGGTGCCTGACTTGGACTAAAAGTATTTCAGTTAAAGTAACTACTTCAACCCCCATGTACCTGGTTTCATCTTTCATCTTATGACAGTCATGGGTGAGTTGATATCAGGAAAGATGGTATCAGAATTGAAGGCAGACAGCTTCTCCAACTTGAGTCGAAAGTGGCCCAGGAGTGGGACCTGGCACTGGTTCACATAGGCATTATACAGCCAGCATTCTTGTGTTCCTCAGAGGAGAGCCTCAACAGTGTGGGGTGCTGTGAGTTTAAGATCCTGACCGAGAGTTAGCTTGTATTTTGTTGTTGTTGTTTTCATTAGATTAATGGTTGCCACCACAGCTCTTAGACAGGTAGGCCATCCTGTAACTACAGGGTCCAGTCATTTGGAAAGGTGTGCCACAGGGCATTTACATGACCCCAAAGTTTGGGTTACAATCCCTTTTGTAATCTCTTTTATTTTGTGGACATATGAAAAGTTTTGAGACATCTGGAAGTGCTAGGGTTGGAGCTGAAGTCAGAACTGCTTTCAAACTTTCAAATGCCTTTTGTTTAGTCTTAGTCCAAATTAGGGACTCAGTGTCCCTGCCCCTTGTTCTGGTGTATAGAGGCCTTACTATGTCCACAAACCCTGATATTCAGAGGCAGCAATACCTAGCCACACCTAGGAACTCTTGAACCTGCCTCTTAGTCTTCGGAGTTGGGATCCGAAGGATGTCAGCAAACCTACTCCAAGATTGCTCCTTTCGCCTCCCCCAGCTGGGTATCACGATGGGTAGACTCTGATGTACAAAGTCGGTCCTTCTTAGCCGATGCTCTGGAGACAAAGGTCACTCTTGCTGCAGTCACTCAGTGGCCCTTTCAGAATTTATTTTAGTTTTAGAGGCTAGGAGGAGGTTTGGTTAGAGTATACATTGTTAGAGTGTGGTCCCAGGAAACCTCTGACGAAGAGCAGAAGGTCAGCATTTAGTGTCTCATCAAACAGGGCTGACTGGAGAATTTTCAAATCTTTGGGACAACCTGGTCCAGGGAAGTTGCCCACTACAACCTCTCTCTGGATCTGACCATGTAAGAGCAAAAATGGGTTGACTCACCTGTGCCCATGGAGGCTGAAGAAGGCATCCTTCAGGTCCAAGACAGTGGACACCTGTTTCTCTGGAGGAGTCAGACTCGTGAGAACCAGAGGTCCCAGATTTCTTCACAGGCAGGAGAGGTGTATTCCAGAGTGACTGGCAAGGCACCAGTATGCCTGTCTCTCTAAGCCTGGCAATGTGGACCACAACTTCCCTTTTTGTTTCCAGGGTCATTGGGCATTGTTTAGTCTGCAGAGAGTAGCTAAACCAATTAATTGAGCAATTACATGAACTTGGTGTTGGGGCAGTACTGAGGGGTTGATTTCTGCCCATATCCCCTATAATTGTAAATCCAAGAGATAGTCCAGCTGTATCCTTTGATTAGGGGCACGACTTTCAGCTAGAGATATTCTTTGGACAAAATCTGTAAGTCTAACTGTGTCTCATCATGAGAGTTGACAGTGGCTTTAAGTTTATGCAAAAGGTCTCGTCTCTCAATTGGTTCTCTGCTGTTAAACACCTTTGAGCTTCCTCTAGCAACTGGGACCCATTTATACCTATAAATTTTCCTAATTTTCTGTTTTCTAATATCTGGGGCCAACTGGGTGACAAAGGAAACCTTTCGGCATCTGTCATTCATCCTTCTGAAAAGAACCCGGGAAAAATTATTTAAAGTCCCCTTGGTCAGTGTTGGACATAAGGGAAAATCCATTCTGTCTAGGCTGAATAGTCCTGCTCTAATCCTCACACTCACAAGGTTCTGGGGGATGGGTGTTCCACTTTTTGCAAAGAATGGTTGGTTTTGAGGTTTCCAATTACATAGATTGCTTGTTGAAAAAGATACATTAATCATGAAAGAGGAAGAGTGGAACTTCCTCCTTTGCTCAGGGGAACATTTCCTGTTCCCAGGGGCTGCTTAGAGAAAGGGGGAAGGGGAGTAAAGGAAGTGTGCGGTTTGGGAAACTATTTGGCATTCTGCTTAGATGCCAGCCACACGCACCCCCACCCACATAAGAGGCCCAGCCCCTCCCCACTGCCTCACAGAGACCGGGACCGACTCCAGCCATGAGTGGGAGTCCAGCAACAAAGCGTAGAACGCTCTTGGAGTGGGACAGGCAGAGGTCATTTAGGTTTCTGGGTGACCTAGCAGAACCAAAAGGATTCAGGTCACCGACAAGAAGGCACGGGTCATAAACAGACAGACCATTTTGTTTTGTCTTTTTTTTTCTCTCTCACACCAGAGAAAGCCACTGGTCAGGTCAATACAGGGAAATAGAACGGACAGAAACACAGAGAGAGACACACAGTAGCGACAACCAGGGGTGGACGCCACACATTCATACACCTGAGCAGACTAGGGGAGTCTGGTGATGTCTCACACAGATCCCAGACACTGATCAATGGCCATGTCTGGCCTCCCCTTGTGTCCTAAACAGAAGGCATCTTAACCAGACTTACTTTCAGAAGGTGACAGGCCAGGTGACATTCTAATGTGTTTCTTTTTCCAGTGGAGGTGCCAGACCCCTAGGAAACATTAGGCAGCGAAGAACCAAAGTTTCTCCATTTTGTCCTCTGCCTCCATCGTGTGTCTTGTGTAAGATATCTCCTGTAAAACATTCCAGTCCTCAGAAATGGCTGGGGGCAAAAGTAACAGGGTAGCCACCTGGAAAGTACAGTTAACTGCAGAATGTCCTCACCTGAAGATCAGCTGATAAGAAAACTTGACAAGCAACAGGCGAGGTTCAAAAGTAAAATTTCTGAAGTCCCTGGACAAGAGTCAATCAGGATTGAGCCCGTCATCCCACACCCTACTAATGTAAATTTTCTGGGGTTTGCCTTTGAATAATGCCCTCTAGAAGGGAAGAGTACCTCCTCTTGTCCCTGCTGTGCCAATTACTTTGATGAGCTCCCTACCCGCTTGTATTGAGCACACAATAAACCTTGCTTTTTGCATTTTGGTGAATCGGTCTCCCTGGTGGTCTTTTGGGGTCCCCACAGACTGGGCACAGCAGGCAGGAAGTGACCAAAGGGAGTCCTAGGGACTTGACATGTCTAAGGTTTCCTACCCCTTTGAGCTCCTTGACGGCTGCACTCTTTCCCTCTCTGAGGGGATCTGAGACCCCTGATGTCTCTAAGGATCTCCAGAAATGTTGTGGGGATCCACCAGAGAAGGTTATTCAAACACGGGCTTGAGCCAATAGGAAGTTTTTGTTAATCTGCTGGTAACTACAACTGTGTTCCAAATCCCAGTGTAGCATTGAGCCTTTCTCAGGGTAAGCTTTTAAGCACAAAAATATATCCTGGGGTGGCATACTTCAGTTAACCAGAACAGTCAGCCAGGAGCAGAACTCCAGAAGCTACAATGCAAGGTTAGCACATTTAGAGACTTCCGGGAGAACCATGGACTTTGATGGATTAGGATTTAGTTTTCCTTATGTCAGGTGATGCTGTCTATGTGTTGGACTTTGTGGCCTGAATGGTGCTTCCATCATGGAGTCAGCTGTGCTAAGGTCTGGAGGCCTACTAAGGTTTGGGGGCCTGTTACCCTGAGAGGATGTGATACTGAGTGATTCAGAGCAGGAGTTCCTGGGAGGAGAACCCACACAAGCAGATGACCAGATGCTGTGCACGCCATCCTCGGCAGCACCAAGGTCAGCATCAACAGAACCTGGGAGTTGGGGGCGGTGCTGAAGCTGTGGATGGGGGATGGAGGGATGAACAGAACCCAGGAGGTACAGGGAGTGATCTGTGGATGGTCCCCAACTCTGTGGTGCCAGGTCTTTTCCCTCCAGGCCACAGACACCCCTCCACCCAATTTAAAATGGGCTCAGCTAAGAACCTAGGACTATGTCGCTCCTTTGAGTGGGTCAGCCGGGGGCGTGGGATGAGGGTAGCATCCAGCAAGACTCAAGTTTCCTGTGTTTGTCAGTTTCTTGCCAAGTGGGACTTTCTCTTTCGTTTTCTGGTTGGGTATATCAGCAGGAGGCCGTGTTCGGTAATCACTTGGATTCACAGCTGGTCACCGTGTCCACACAGCTAAGGACTGTCCAGTCCCATTCAAACTCAGCCTGTTGACAATTTTGTGTAAATTGGGAAATAGCTAAGTTCTCACATCTGCATACCCCCACAGCCTCTCTGAAAGAGGAACATGGCCCTTTTTGTTGGTAAGTTCAACAAGGTCAGGCATCTGCCTCAGGTCACAGACACAGCAGCAATGAAACTAGCCTTGCAGCAGATTGGGGTGCAGCTGCTCCCTCTTCCCATCTGCCCTAAGCACAAGACACAGTGAGGGGCTCCTCAGATGGGCCTATAGAACCTATGGGGTTCAGCATGTGCACCAGGTTCCTGACACGTGACCGGGAGACCTCAGGGAGGGGTTTGCTCTCAGAGTCCCTCCTCTGGGAAAGGGAGGAAGCAACAAGATAGGGGATAGGGGACCACACATCTCTGCTTGGGGGCCTGAACACGCAGAGTTGACTCTGAGTGATGTGACTTAAACAGAATGGGGACAAGAACTGCTTTTTGAGACACAAGGATCCCAGGGATTTTGCATCCAACCTGTCTCTGAACTCACACTCTGGGTCAGGTCTTGTGAGGAAACTGAGGCTTCCGAAGAGAGAGACTTGACCAGGATTCCGGGACAGGGACTGAGCAGGTGGCTGGCAGCCATCTACCTTCTGTTAGGGGATGAGTGGAAAGGGCAGGGGCTCTCATGTACCCGTGTGGTGGTTGGGACACACACACACACACACACACACACACACACACACACACACACACAAGCCTGCACTGTATAGTCACACCTAGCTTCAGGAAGCCCAGTGTCCCCCATGTGTGTCCCCCCACCCCCCGCAGCACTCTTTCCAGTTTTTGGAGTGCTCTCTGGGGTCACTGGACTTGGGTTTGCTTGACCACTACAACCTGACTGCAAAGTCAATTCCTTCTCTCCTTGCATTAGGACGTGGCTGCTACCAGCTGCCTCTGTCACCCTGCACACGGTTTCCTGGAATATTTGCTCCGACTCTGCCCCCTGGATACCCGGGGTCAGATGTGACCCTGCTTGGGGATTGGTTCAGAGTGTTTGATGTCTGAGGACATCTGGGTATCTATGATTATAGGGGAGTCAGTTGGCGGTGAATGTTTGGAATCATTTAGGCAGGGGAAAAGTAGGAGTATGAGAAGAGAGATGAGATTTGGGGGGAACAGGTGATCGTGAGGGAGCAGGAACCAGAGGGTGAGGGTGAGTACACAAGGTGGGGGTTAGAAGAGTACCCTGTATTGAAGGAAGGTTAAGCATGCAGCTGTCTGGGCCGTGTAGTAGAGTGGCCTAGAGGGAGGTGGGTTGAGTCATAAGAGATGAGGCCTTGGAGGGTCACCTTGGCAGGTGGGAGACTGCAGCAGGTGACAGACAGATACATCACGCTGAGAGACTGGGTATAGAGTTTATTTAGTGCATTAGAAAAGGGGAAAAGGAAGAAGGGGGAAGAAGAGAGAGAGGCAGGGGGTGGGGAGGAGAGAGCAGAAGCTACCTTTTCAGGAGAGAAATGGAAAGAGAGAGTGAGCGCATGCTGGTGGAGGCAAGAGATCCGCTTGCCTCAGTGGAAGGGGAGGGCTGGGAGGGGACAGGGCTTTTCTCTTAAGGGACAGAATACCCAGGTGACAGGACAGGCTAGTAGATCATAACATTCCCATCTCTTATAATAAAAAGGTGGGAAGTTAGGCACAACAGGAGTCCCTAGCCCCTGGTTCCTGAGCCAACCGGCTGGGAATCAGCTTGACTTTATTATCACCCCCTCGCGCTAGCCTGGAGACGTCCAGCTAGTCGCCCTGGGACTTGCGTCATTTTCGTCATTCTCACATTTCAGCTGTGGAAAACAAACGACATTTCTAACTAAATTTAAATAGTCACACCACGTGGACAACCATGGCTGCCGCCATTTTCTTCCGAAGAGCACAGGCAGTAGACCCTCCGCGTGAGGTCTCGCCCCTAGCCAGCTTCCTTCCTCTCACTTTTCGTTTAGCTATATGTGCATAAAAACTTAAATTCAACTGGGTGCGAATACATGTATATTTACTGTTACACGTTATAATTGTCTGTTTATTGTCTCTCATTCCAGACTACAAAACAGCCACTCTCATGTTCTAAGTTGGTATATACTTTTAAGTCTCCTACAGAAAGTACTATATATGTAATCCGACCCTGCTTTAAAACATATTAAGCTGTTTTCTACTATGGTCAGTTTCACTATTAGCTTCTGCTAAGTTGAGAGCCATTGCAGTCAAGCTTGGACTCAGTTCTCCAGGCAGATTCTATGCTGCAGTTATACCTGACAAACAGCCCTCAACTGCCAGAGATCTGGGAAATACGGCATTTAAATATTTAATTATTAAAAGACTTTTCATAACAGGGACAGGTTGGCTCCAAGCAGCAGCACCCTATTTCCTCTAAAGAAGACAGAAAACAGATGGACTTACATAACCACGTCCACCCGCAATTCACTTCAATTGCCAAGCGCTGACCACTGGGAAAAACTGCCTTTCCTCTAAACTGAAGATCTCCAGACGTGGAGAGAATAACTGGAATCAACAGCCTAACTGTTCAGATCAAGGTAGGTTTGTCTTCCTACAGATTTCTAACCCGCAAGATCTTCTAAAACCTGGCAGGCCCTGTGCTAAACAGCAAAAAGCAAATATGACCCTCAGTGGCCATAAAAGACTCTGAGGAGCAGCTCTAGGTGCCAACCAAGCAAGTTCTCTGTCGCTTTTTAAGTTGAAAACTCCAGTAAAATTTTATCC